TTCTCACAACGACACTATTGAATTCAAATTGATATTTATGTTTGCCATTCAACGCAATTTTTTCTTAGCTGTATATAGAGTTAAAACTCAACTTTAAATATTGTTTTGTGCGTTTTTTTTTACGAAAATGATCAATTATACAAGAGTATGTATAGATGCGTGTTTAGCTAAGAAAATGGCAACAAGTTTTAATTCGAATATGTTACTTTACTTTTCGGGGTGTGGGTATGGGTAAGAAAGAATACTAGACTCATATCCACATTCACATCCAACTTCGTTGTGTTTTGTATTTCAGTAGTCTTTAGCGAGGTTTTTGTCACTGTTTGGTGGCTCTCGCATTTGGTTTTTTTTTTGAATCGAAATGATACATTTGAGTTAAATAGAGTAATAATCAATAGTACATGTCACTCTTTATTTCTATAAAATCTACCAGAACAATTATTTTTTGTCTTTTAATTAAGTATCGAGAAGAATTCTTCGAAGAAAAAGTCACATTCGTGTAATATTCATTTGAGAAACGATGCTAAATCAATTGGATCATGTATATCTTTGTTCTTGTTCAACATAGGCTCGAACAAGAATCGAACCACCGTCATCTGTATATGCTGGTTGTGGTAGATGAGTCGTTTGGAAAGGAATATCTACACTTGGCATAGGACTATGCGAAAGTAGTGACAAAAGTGTCGTTCGTGTTACTGTTGTCCAATTGTGATCAAAATGTGATGATGAATTGGAGAGAAAAGAATTGGCGCGTGCTAGACGTTTCATTGGTGTTAATGATTTTTTATTAATGTATTGTTCTCTGTACGTTATGGGCTCTTGAGATATGTTATTTTTGTTCATTGATTTATAAAAGACACGTTCTTCCTGACAATATTCACAAGGACTGTTCTTCTTTCCCAAAAATCTTTGACGAATTCGTTCCCTGATAAATGAAAATCAATGCAATGTATAGAAATAGAAGAAACATATGTCAACATACCAGAAATCTCCAGGACACCATTGACAACAAAGAAATAGACTCAATATACTAAGAGCTAGGAGTAACAATAAACCAAGGCTGATTCCTAATCCAAGAATTAGAGATTGATTATTAGACAATTCACTTGTTGTATTAGGTGCGATTGTTGGTGTTGTTGTTGAACTAGATGTTGAGGTTGTTGTGCTTGTTGTCATGGATGTGCTTGTGGAAGTAGTCGTCGATGTTGACGTTGTTGTTGTCATACAGGGTACAGATGACATGATCACTGTGAATGTTACACAATACTGTGATGATTGTACTTCTTCACTATTCCATAGCGGAAAAAAAACTATGATAGTGATTAATAATTAGAAAGACGTTTTACCTGGTATAGGCAATGGTGCATAATTGTTGTGTCCCAAGTTGACTTGCCTGTGGTGTCCAAGTAAATGTGACGTAAACAAGCGATGTATTTATTGACGAAGTTGTCAAGTTACTAATTTCAATACCATCAAACCCTTTTGAAATAATGACATCAGCAATATCAGTGGTACTGGGATTACACGAATTTATTACGGAAAGATTGAAACTATTAGTAACACCAACTGTTACTTCTAAACAACCTGTTAAAGGAAGAATAACAGGAGCATTGTAACATGCTGGATCTGGCATGACATAGATCAGGAATTGAACTGGTACTGAACTCATTGGAATAAGACTTGTCTCGTTGATAAAATCTTCCACCTGCAAAGAGGAAAATAAGACTAATTGAATAGATCGATTTTATATGTGAAATTAGTCGAAGAAACGTAATACTAATTCAGTTTAGAGTATTCGATAACGAAAAACAAGTTTTAAGCGTGCGATGCTTTAAAAGAAACTCTTGCTTCGTTCTTTACTTATTTTGATTTAATCGAGAGTAGTGATTATCACAATGATATCTCAACCGAAAAAAGGCAGATTTTTATATGAATAGGAATGAAAAACATTATGTTTGATTTCAGTCAAAATGACGAAGAAAATTCAGTACTATTTCAAATAAGTATTCAATAATTTATCATTGTTTTCTCATATACTCACAAAAAAACTGCACTTATAAAGTATGGAAAAACATTGATGCACAATACAAAACTCTTTACCTGTCCGCAAACCTACCTGAATAGCAACTGCATACCAAGTATTAGATACAAGTCCTCGAAAGGTTAAAGTGCAGTTTGACAGAATGGTACCATTTGGTACACTAGTTGGATAACAGATACTACCACATTCATCAATTGCTTGACGAGTAATATACGATGTGGTGGATGGTATCGTTGCTGTAGTTTCGAGTGTGGTGGTTGGGGTTGTTCCGACCGAACAGGAAGGACTTGTTCCACATGTAGAACTAGTACAGCTGGTTCCTAAACAACTAGCACAATTACAGGGACATCTATACACGCACGTATTTCGACAATTGGTGCCATTGCATGAATAATGTGTTCTTTTTTTCCGAATTAGTACAACATTGTCGTCTATAGTTTCTTTTTTACCTTTGTAAGAAATAAACTCATGGTCCGATCGCTTTCGTCTATTAATTCCGGGCTTATATTCAGACCAACGACATCTTATATCATCACCTTGGTTCGAGTCTGATACAGGTATTTGAATCTGTAGTGTCTTATTCACAATCGCGTATTGTGGAGAAACAACACTCGCTACAGGTGGAGTATTAATAAAACCATCGGATCGTATTCGAAGATCAATAAAACTCAAAATAGACCAATATAGACCACTTTTGGGTGGATTATTTAAGGCAAGCCAAGCACTTCCTTGATATGCTAGATAAAAATGTGCACTAGCATTAAGTGTAATATTAACTGATCGTTGACTGGTCAATATGCCTAATGATGAACTAAATGAAGTACAATCAGTCAAAATATTGACTGGTTTGTTCGAATAACCACCATCAGTTGAACAATCAGCAATACATGTCAAATTAGCATTTGCACTACTTCGACCACTTGTAGAAATTGGTACATTTGTTGCACAGGTTATGGTTGGATAGGACCACCAATAAGATTGTATAATAGATATTTGAACTGAACTCGAATTATTATAGGGATTTATTGGTGCCCATCTGATGTTTCCACCATTGAAGTGCACTTCGTCAGAGATAGGGAACAGTAATAATATAATCAAGAATAAAATGGGCATTCCGGTAAGAAATGAAAATCTAAAAATTGTGTCTGCTGATTAATTGTATGATACTACATATCAAATTGCTGTGACTATCGTATATAGACTTCTTGATTGAGTAGTGATACGCCCGTTAATTTCGCACACTTATGCAGATACAAGTACGGGTACCCGATCCGTAGGCTATATTACTCTTATGAATTACTGATAGCTTAGCAGAACGACCGAGCTGAATGATTCCGAGCTTTGGAAACAATCGGATTTTACTAGAACCAACCGGAAAGATGAGAGAAATATTACTGTATCCGGTAGAAAGCACCGAAAATTAATGGAACATAGAAGCAGTATTCTGGCCGCAAAGTTTCCCGATTTTTTCCGATGTTTTATGACCGTTTCCTGTGAGACAGAACAGGAAGTTGACATGAAGTCACCGCGAAAAATCGGAGACTTTTCGATCTGAAACACGGCTTTCAAGCTCCCTCGATTTTCGGTTTTTCTCTTGCTGAAATCGTCACATACTTCTTGACCTGGGGACCAAACAACTATGTGTTCTAGGACGCTGCTGATAAACAGAGGTATTAAAAATACATATTTTCAGATTTTTTTTATGAATACACTGTTAAAAATTAAGTTTGTGTCATCACAAATCGTTATTTTTCATACCCATACCCGTACTCAGGTACGGGTATCCGATCCGCGGGTTGCAATACTCTAGTTGAACAGTGTAAAGGTGGTTTCGTTAGAAAGGCAAGTTTAGTACATATGCTTGGTTGGAAAACTTTAACGATTTTCAAGACATTTGCATTCGATGTTTGTCTCCCTACTTGTCATATCGATATGATTAACATACGAATAAATCGATAAGAAAATAACTTATCACAGATTGAAAAACCTACTATAAAAAAGTGATAGGATTTGTAGTTTATCATCATCGCATTTGGTAATACAAGGAAAATGTTTGATTAGAGTAATGTGTAAATCAGTTTGTTTTCTGAGATTGTCGTGTGAACGATCATCATTAAATTAAAAAAAACAGTGACTGCCTTCCTTTCTGTCATTCAAAAAAATAATTAGGTTTTTTTTTCAAACAAATGAAAATGCTCACATAAATTTCAGATCATAGTGGAAAAATGAAAATGTTTCACCGAGTTTGATATATTTGCTTATACGAAGCCATATTAACAATAATAACTTTTTTCAAGTGACTTATGCAAAAAAAGGAGAAAGAAAGTATGTATAACATTTTCTGAGTCGAACGAATCTGGATCCATCACGAAACTATCGAACTCTCGCAAAGATCTATATAAAAAAAACCCATAGTTGCTTTTCTCATGGCAGTCATTACGATCGAATTCTCTAACCTTGAAAGGATAGCTAGAAAGCGTGTTTTTTACTGATAGCATATGCAAAGATGCCCTATTGTATCAAAAATTCAATTATAATCATAGACATACGAATCTGTTCATGTATTATAAAAAAATAAATTAACGAATAGTCATACACGTTTCAACACTTTTGAAGAAGTTGAAAGAGCGCAAACTGATTGATTTTTTTTTTCAAATAATTGTAATATATGATTCGCATTGCTCCTCTAGATCATAATCAGAGAGAGTCAAATGAATTTTTAATACCGTAGGAAAGAATGATGGATATTGAACTAACAATTTTTCTGACACAGACATTGACTTTCTATCAAAATTTTCTAACAATTAACGACTAATTTCAATCATACAGGAGAAAGAACGTTCAGAATATTCTTTTGTTATTTTATTTCGATGAGAGCATTTCCTTCATTATTCAACAAAAATAGAGACGAGTTGAAATGAACATTGTTGGCAAAACAGTTATATTTAACCAAAATCATACTTGGTAACGAATACGTTCAAAGACGTCTTCTAATCAACACTGAGTATCAACCATTTGTATATTGATTCGATTCCCTCACTAACCATTGAATAATGTCTCTGTATATTTAAGATCAACGAAGCAGGTAGCAGAGAAATCAAAGGATGGGTGTCCTACCATCGAGGGTGTGGGTGAAAGTGTGAGTGACGGTGACGGTGTGGGTGTCCACGCAAAGAACATTCACACCCACACCCCACGGCCGTCCACACCCACACCCAATTCAGCAACTTATATAGCTGTAAGTATCAATCACATTAAATTCAATTTTTCTTTTATTTAGATTTGGTCCAACAACTTATAAAGCTGTAAGTATGAATTAAATAAAATAAATAACTTCATTTTTTCATTTAGGTTTGAACACAGATTGATCGAAGTCAAGATACAAAGTTTGGTTTGCACTGGGTGTGGGTGTGAATGTTGGTGGGTGTGGGTGGGATGTGTGGGTGTGAGTGTGGGTGTGTGGGTGTGAGTGTGGGTGTGAGTGTTGGTGGGTGTGGGTGTGGGTATGGTTGTCTTTATGTGAAGCCAGAGACCAACACTCTACACCCACACCCACATCCACACGTCCACACCCACACCCACACTCACACCCACACACCCACACCCACCCACACTTACACACCCACCCACACCCACACCCACACTTACACTCACACCCCAACCCACACCCACACCCACTCACACCCACACCCACACCTACCCTAGTTCTGCGACCACAGAACTTATGTTCAGAAAGATTTTTATCATCAAATAAATGTATTTGTGTTGAAAACAAGCTAGTTGAGACATTATATAAACTTTGCTTTTCTTCTAAGACTCACGAGATTCGGGTCACAAAAATCAAAATTAGATCAAAACAAATACCATATTCTCAACTCAGATCAAAAAGAGATCTGACTTATAAATATTTGAACTATTTGGGTGTCGGTGTAGGATATGAGTGCATGGAGTTTTTTTCAATCACAGCCATACGGACAAGCAAACCCACACCCATATCCTGTCTTCTCGTGAAAATAATCTTGTTAGACATAGGATTCGGTTCAGAAGCATGTTTCTCATATTAATAACATCAATACATTTTTTTTTCTTTTAGGATTTTCTTTGAACATTAATTATGGGAACCATGCCTTACACATAATATTTTATGGAGGTAAGAGAAAAGTGTTCATGCCAGCGTTGAGTTGGGTGTGGATGTGAATGAAGAAGACACTCACACCACAACCCATTCATCTTAATCTCGAGCATGCTGACGAAAAGTGACTTTTGGTCAGGGGAGGAAGAAGTGGTTAGCAAAAACAATTTGTGTTAACCCTACTTGTTAGTCGCAAATTACAATGAGGTTTTATACACAAAGAGGTATCTATCATTCCCATTTCTAAGCGCACCTAGTTTTTTTTTATCTAGTCTTATTCATTCATGGAAGAAAGTTCTCTAAAGGGAAATTGATTTTGAAAGGTAATCTAAAACAACTACACTTTACAAAAAATAGATGGCACTAGATCAATTCGTCGCAAGTCAATTTGTCGCATCCAATTCGTCGCAATCAATTCGTCGCACAATCAATTTGTCGCACGTCAATTTGTCGCAATCTATTCGTCGCATCTCTCATTATAAATTTCCCGTATCAGAGTTTGATCTTGCGGGAAAATGATACATAGACAGAAATGAAATGACGTATTCAGAGAATAGAAAATAACAACATCTTGTAATTTCATCAAACTACAGAAAAAAAACCGATGTTTTTGTTCGTTTTTCGACGAAATTTTAAATAGGACGTATGTATTCCACCTGTCTCCAACCAGTAGTGTCAAACTTGAAACTTGAGTTCAATTGAGTTTTCAAGTTTCAACTTTCAACTTTCAATCTAATTTCAGATGACTTTTCCGGCCAGTCCTTTCGCGGCACCCACAGCCGCTGCAATGTGATGTGTGCATAGTGTGGCCACTTCTTTCGCGATCAGTCCCTTCGCGGTCAGTCCTTTTGCGGCCAGTCCTTTCGCGGCACCCACAGCAAGTGCGATGTGATGTGTGTCATAGTGTGGCCACTCCTTTCGCAGCACCCACAGCAGCTGCGATGTGATGTGCGTCGTAGTGTGGCCACTCCTTTCGCAGCACCCACAGCAGCTGCGATGTGATGTGCGTCGTAGTGTGGCCACTCCTTTCGTGATCAGTTCCTTCGCGGTCAGTCCTTTTGCGGCCAGTTCTTTCGCAGCACCCACAACAGGTGCGATGTGATGTGTGTCGTAGTGTGGCCAATCCTTTCGCGGCACCCACAGCAGGTGCGATGTGATGTGTGTCGTAGTGTGGCACCTCCTTTCGCGGTCAGTTCCTTCGCGGTCAGTCCTTTTGTGGCCAGTTCTTTCGCGACACCCACAGCAGCGGCAATGTGATGTGTGTCGTATTGTGGCCACTCCTTTCGCGAGCAGTCCCTTCACGGCTAGTTCTTTTGCGGCCAGTCCTTTCGTAGTAACTTGAAAGTTGAAAGTTGAAACTTAAAACTTGAAAACTCAATTGAATTCAAGTTTCAAGTTTTACATATATGTCTCCAACATGTCAGTCATCGAATAATATCTCGAAAAACATGTTACTTAGTATTTTTAAATTACTAAACATAACTAATTCGAATAATCGGCGTTCCCCGTTGACTATCATAAAAAAATATGTAATGAGAGAATGATGCGACGAATAGATTGCGACGAATTGATGTGCGACTAATTGATTGTGCGACGAATTGATTGCGACGAATTGAACGCGACGAATTGACTCGCGACGAATTGATCGGTCACCAAATAGATAGCTTTGTTTTGTTTTGATTTCATTTTTCTCTGGATCAGTGTGTGATGCAAAAGCTAATGCCGCTAAGGGTACCCCTCTTTGCCAAGATTTTTGAAGAACGGCTCATCAGAAAAATTTGAAATTTATGGAGCACATACATCTCGATCAGTAGAGAAAAAGTTGTCATAGACTCAAAGTTCTCCAACGCTGTCTTCTATGATACATTGAGTTCACAATTTCGAAAAACTGCTCTAATTTTCGCCCCCGTTTCTTCAAGATCCTCCATTCAATTGAGCTGAAACTTCTTTTACAGATACTAGACAGGATTTTCACTGGGTA